ACCCTGTCATATCTTTATTGCACGGTGATGGGGACCCCTATGTATGTATGTATGTATGTATGTATGTATGAATCTATCAATCTATATATCTATCTTATATACATGTACAATAATATGCACACATAGAAAGAGAGGGATACCCTACCGCACCCCGCACGGGTCAAGATGGGAGGCTGACCGGATATAGGATCAATGTTTGTGATCAACGCCGGCCGGAGGACAACCGGGCCCCGACAGGGAGCCGTAAAGGAACATTTAATTTTGACCCTGACTGCCGGCGTACACCCGGGTTCATGACGCTGGCCGGCGTCTACACCGGGAACATGCCGAGCAGGCCCCGTTGGAAATGTGACTCCAGCTTCAGGACAGGTTCGCTATGTAGATATGTATGTATGCAAACAAGTGACAGGTGATTCGATGTACGTTCATTATGTACATTTTATTGATTACTGATGCTGCATTAGTACATTGTAGATTTTGTTTTTTTCCTTTAATGGCCTCACGAGACTTGATGTTAATTTATACTCATTGATATATCCCTTCAGTGGTATTGCGTTACCAACATTAGAGCAGTAGTCGACGACACTTTTTATCCAAAACAGGAATAGTAACAGTGGCTGGCTTTCTTTGAGTGTGAATGTTCGGTGATAAGAGTCTTTTTATTTCCTTTTGGGAAAATAGACCTCCCCCCCGTGGTGGGCATAAATATTGGCCTGATCTTCGTAGAGATCCACCAACACATCCGGTAAGGAGAATGGCGTCCTCCTGTGGATAGAGACACAGATCTATGTTATTTTTGCAGCGTCTCGATGTACATCGAGTAAGTACTCCAAAAATGTAGAAAAAAATTTAAAAGTCAGTTACCTACCTATAAGAAAAAAATGTAGTAAAGTTTCCACTAAGTTGGTATTATCATTGATCAGTTATCCTATTTGTATCCAGTAGAAAAAGGTAATTGGAATAAACACATGCATTGCAAGTAGGTCCATAAGAACCCGTGTTATCACAATAGATTTAACGTACCTCGTTTTCTGTAGTGGCTGTTCTTCATCACCGTACATGTCTTTTTCTTTTAATACTTGACGTCGCTTCAGACAAAAGAACATAATTGCCAGACAAATGGCGGTAATCGGCACCATAGCTCCAGCGGCTAAGCCGGCTGCTATAGCAGCAAGGTTATACGGCGGATCTGATCTTCCCTTGGTGGCATTCGTCACTGCTGTTATTGTCTGTTGCTGCGATGTATGGATTATAATGGTTGGCGAGGCGGGTGTAACAGGAGTTCTTGTTAAGACGGATGTAATCGTAGTTGTTGGTGGTTCTGATGTGATCATAGTTGTTGGTGGGGCTGATGTGATCATAGTTGTTGGTGGTTCTGATGTGATCATAGTTGTTGGTGGTTCTGATGTGATCTTCGTTGTTGGTGGGGCTGATGTGATCATAGTTGTTGGTGGTTCTGACGTGATCATAGTTGTTGGTGGGGCGTGATGTGATCACCGTTGTTGGTGGTTCCGATGTGATCATTGTTGTTGGTGGGGCTGATGTGATCATAGTTGTTGGTGGTTCTGATGTGATCATAGTTGTTGGTGGGGCTGATGTGATCATAGTTGTTGGTGGGGCTGATGTGATCATAGTTGTTGGTGGTTCTGATGTGATCATAGTTGTTGGTTGGGCTGATGTGATCATAGTTGTTGGTGGGGCTGTATGTGATCATAGTTGATGGTTGGGCTGATGTGATCATAGTTGTTGGTGGGGCTGATGTGATCTAGTTGTTGGTGGTTCTGATGTGATCATAGTTGTTGGTGGTTCTGACGTGATCATAGTTGTTGGTGGTTCTAATGTGATCATAGTTGTTGGTGGGGCTGATGTGATCATAGTTGTTGGTGGTTCTGATGTGATCATAGTTGTTGGTGGTTCTGATGTGATCATAGTTGTTGGTGGGCTGATGTGATCATAGTTGTTGGTGGGCTGATGTGATCATAGTTGTTGGTGGGCTGATGTAATCATAGTTGTTGGTGGTTCTGATGGTCATCACAGTTGTTGGTGGGGCTGATGTGATCATAGTTGTTGGTGGTTTTGATGTGATCATAGTTGTTGGTGGTTCTGATGTGATCATAGTTGTTGGTGGTTCTGATGTGATCATAGTTGTTGGTGGGGCTGATGTGATCATAGTTGTTGGTGGTTCTGATGTGATCATAGTTGTTGGCGGGCTGATGTGATCACAGTTGTTGTGGTTCCGATGTGATCATAGTTGTTGGTGGGCTGATGTAATCATAGTTGTTGGTGATTTTGATGTAATCATAGTTGTTGGTGGTTCAGATGTGATCATTGTTGTTGGTGGGGCTGATGTGTCCATAGTTGTTGGTGGTTCTGATGTGATCATAGTTGTTGGTGGGGCTGAAGTTATCATAGTTGTTTGCGGGGCTGATGTGATCATAGTTGTTGGTGGTTCTGATGTGATCATAGTTGTTTGTGGGGCTGATGTATCATAGTTGTTGGTGGGGCTGATGTATACATAGTTGTTGTTGGTTCTGATGTATCCACAGTTGTTGGTGGTTTAGATGTGATCATAGTTGTTGGTGGTTCTGATGTGATCATAGTTGTTGGTGGTTCAGATGTGATTATAGTTGTTGGTGGTTTTGATGTGATTATAGTTGTTGCTGGGGCTGATGTGGTCATGGTTGTTGGTGGGGCTGATGTGATCATAGTTGTTGGTGGTTCTGATGTGATCATAGTTGTTGGTGGTTCTGATGTATCCATAGTTGTTGGTGGGGTTGATGTATCCATCGTTGTTGGTGGTTCTGATGTGATCATGGTTGTTGATGGGGCTGATGTAATCATAGTTGTTGTTGCTTCTGATGTATCCATAGTTGTTGGTGGGGCTGATGTGTCCATAGTTGTTTGTGGGGCTGATGTGATCATAGTTGTTGGTTGGGCTGATGTGATCATAGTTGTTGGTGGGGCGTGATGTGATCATACGTTGTTCGGTGGTTCGTGATGTGATCACAGTTGTTCGGTGGGGCTGATGTGATCATAGTTGTTGGTGGGGCTGATGTGAACATAGTTGATGGTGGGGCTAATGTGATCCTAGTTGTTGGTGGGGCTGATGTGGTCATAGTTGTTGGTGGGCTGATGTGATCATAGTTGTTGGTGGTTCTGATGTGATCATAGTTGTGGTGGGCTGATGTGATCATAGTTGTTGGTGGTTCTGATTTTATCATAGTTGTTGGTGGTTCTGATGTGATCATAGTTGTTGGTGGGGCTGATGTGATCACAGTTGTTGGTGGGGCTGATATGATCATAGTGTTCTGGTTTTGATGTGATCATAGTTGTTGGTGGGGCTGATGTAATCATAGTTGTTGGTGGTTCTGATGTGATCATAGTTGTTGGTGGTTCTGATGTGATCATAGTTGTTGGTGGTTCTGATGTGATCATAGTTGTTGGTGGGGCTGATGTGATCATAGTTGTTGGTGGGGCTGATGTGATCATAGTTGTTGGTGGTTCTGATGTGATCATAGTTGTTGGTGGGGCTGATGTGATCATAGTTGTTGGTGGTTCTGATGTGATCATAGTTGTTGGTGGTTCAGATGTGATCATTGTTGTTGGTGGGGCTGATGTGTCATAGTTGTTGTGGGCTAATGTTATCATAGTTGTTGGTGG